GGCAGCACCCAAAGGTAAGACCCTCCTGGCGGGGCGCTCTGTAGCACAGGGTCACAGGCGGGTCTGTAAGGGGGCAGAACTGGCAGCGCCAAAATTAGAACCACGTTGATTTGTAGCGAACCGCCCGCTAGCAGCTTGCTCAGCCACGAGGCTTTTCTGTGACGAGCATGGTGCGCTGACGTTTCGTGACAAACAAGGTGTGAACTTTTTTATCTGACCTTCGCTGTTGGCAATGTATTTCATAGCTCCATTCCCTCCCCCGCCCCCCCCCTTTGGTTTTGTTCATCAGTTCTGCTGGCTACTGCTTACTTTCTTTGATCTCAGCTTTTTACAAGACACTAAAATTCCAGTAGGAATTCTGGAAAGTAGCGATTTCAGGCTTTTTAAGCCCCTGGTCCCAGTTGTCAGAGTCCTCACAGCAGAGCACACCAAGCACTGTGATGGGGGGAGGCTGTAAAGGACATGCCAGCACGGACAGCCGAGGGTACCCGCCTGCTTACCAACCGGTGGAGGTGAGGGAGTGCTGTGTAATGGGCGGGGAAGGCGACCGAGGGCTCGCAGCACTTCCGAAGTCATTGATCTAACGATGTTTGTCCCTGTCTTGAACTGTGAGGGTGAATGGTAACTTTGGAACTCACATTAAAGATTTAAAACTGAGAAAATAAAATATATTGTATTTTACTGACGTTGTGAAGAAGCTTGAGTTGTAACTAAATTTGAACTTGACCATGAAGATGTACTAAAGTGTTTTCACTAGGGTTTTTTCAGTTTGCTGAAATCTGGGCTTTTATTTAAAAAAAAAAAAAAAAGAAAAAAAGAAACCAAAGTTAAATAATATTCTCTCACCTAGGAAAAGGTAGAGGGGCCAAGAAAAGGAAAGCATCCAGCTCAGAAAACGAAGGTGAATACAACCCTGGGAAGAAAACACCTAAATCGACACCGAGCAAGGTCAGTTCCGTCTGTGCTCTTTTCTCCTTGTAAAAAGAACCTCAAGGATTACGTTACAGAGGAGGTACCCGGTGTCGTTGGGGGTTGCTGGTGTGCTAATGGGGTTGAGGTGTGTTTTGAAATCAGATGCTAGAGAAGGTTCGAAGGGACGCTGTATGCAGCATCACAACTGATTTGTCTTTTCTTTTCTAAAGAAATCCAAGAAGGCCGCTTTTGACCAGGATTCTGATGTGGAAATCTTTCAGTCAGGCTTTGCCTCCGAAACTGCCCCAAAGCCACGGACAGGCCGGGCTAGGAAAGAAGTTAAATATTTTGCAGAGTCTGATGAAGATGATGATTTTGATATGTTTAATTAAGTGCCCAAAGAGCACACAACTGTTTTCAACAAATATCTTGTGTTGTCCTTTTGTCCCTTCTGTCGCAAACTTTTGTACATTTGACTTATTTTATGTGATAATGTAATTGATGGTTTTTATTATTGTGTGTAGGCATTTTAACATTTTGTTCTTACACCTACAGTTTTATGCTCTTTTTTACTCATTGAAATGTCATGTATTTGTCTGACTGGCTTGTAGAGATGTTCTAGACAGCTGTGCTAAAGCACATTTTAATTGTCATGGTTGCAAACAGCAAACCTGCTTTTTGAAATGAAGTTTAAACATTAAAAAATGGAAAACTACTGTGTGTGTCTAAGATTTCGACTACAGGGACTACTTCTACACAGTTGGGTTTTTTTTAAAATAAATATATTTTATTCTTTGCCAGGAGACTCCATGGAAAAAGGTAAACAGTATATGAACATAGAAAGCATTGTTAAACAATCTCAATGTACAAACAGAGCCAGTGAAAGTACATCACAGACTTGCTAGAATATATAAAAAAAAAATCCACTAGTGCTTTAAATGAAACCTAAGAGACTGACACTTTAAACCTGTTAACCATTCTACCACAGTTTTCACTCTGCTTCATGGTGATTTGACAAGGCCAAGGTGGCAGATTCTTTCCTCGTGTTCCTGGCAGTCGGTGCTGGCTGCACTCCCGGCGCCCGTCAGGCTGGGCGGCCCAGCTCGCTCCCGGCAGTCGGTTCTGAAGGGAGCGCCCGAGCCCCGCCGCTCCAGAAGCTGCACGTGAGGCTGCTGGCTGTCACCCCATGAAGTTTCCCTAATGGCTTGTGGACAAGTAAACAAAAACATGGTCACACTAAAAAGTGTTTCTGCCTTGGAGGCTATCGTTGCTGTAGGAATGGGGTAGCGAATTGTGTAGCTCTGTCACCAGCCAGGTAAGAAACCACTTCTCTCAATTTTAAAGTGACATTAACGGTGGAATAAATGACATCTGAATAACTGACCTGGCAGCCAATGCCAATACTGGTGTCTCTTCTGCTAGTGCAGTGAGTGTCTGTATACTTTTTACAAGGAAAGAGATGCGAATGGAGGGCGTCAAAGACGAGTTCTCATATTAAACTAAACCAGACGGTCCTTTAAACTTCCTTTTCTGGATGCGTACAGGAGTCCATTTCACACGGGTGGTGTCTTGATCGTTTTAGGTGTGAGACACAAAAGGAAAGCACCCAACATCCAGGGCAGAAAGTAGAAAGTACAGCCATACAGTTGTATGTACAAATTCATCAGAAATGCAACCGGAATTTAAAGTTTGAGATCTGTCTTGTCACCATGCAATCTTGAATGTTCAGAGGAGAAAACAGAAGCGCAACTATTTTTTGCACGAAATGGCTGATTTAGAGTTTCGAAAGTTTGCATTTTCTAGTTTTAAGAGTTTAAACAGCAAGGAGTATATATTGATACATATGAAAATTTCTTGGTCCTTGTTGAGTTTTTATCTATATATATATACATATATAGATATATATTAAGTCCAGAAACTAAGCAGCAGTAAAAATGTTTTTCTTGCTTTCCATCCCTGTACATACGGCATTAGGAATGTCTGAAGTAGCTGGAAAATGTCTTATTGCACCATAGGGGACTGACTGACACTGCCATTATCCACTGAACTAGGCGAGATACTGGGACTGTGTTCTGCAGTGTTTCCGTTTGAGGTTGGTGTCAGTGGCTCGTGCCCTTCAGAGTTCTCCAGCATTTCCTGAATAAGAGGCGGCATGGATCCCGGAATTTCCATTTTCAATGTAATGACACGCTCTGCACCTTTAAAAGAGGAAAAAAAAAAAGAAGTCCTTTCCATTGTTATGATTTGTACAATTTCCTTTTTGTGGGCATCATCAGTAGTAATTTCAGGGGACGTTACTTTATTGGATTTGGCGTCTCCTACCCTTCCTGCATACAAAATTGTGTAAGTGAGCGACTTCATTCATGGCAAGAAAAAGGGGCCGGATGAGTGTCCTTAACAAATGCATTGGAAATGATGACAACGCAGCTGATACTGCAGCACTGGTGAAGTGGCTGGACTGCTGCTTTGCATAGCAGGAACCAAACCAGCATTAAGTTATACTGAAAAATTAAGTTGAAGTGTGATCGGGCGGATGGCTTTATAAAGGGGAATGTACGTCACAGGTTTTAACCTCCAGTGGATCTGCAAAGACCACAGAATGACAAAAAGTCTGGCTGACTTGTCTTAAATAGGCGAGGTGAACGCTGTAAGAGAACGGCAGTGATGTCCGTCAGACACCTCTTTCGCACGTAGAGAACTCTGAAATAAGAATCAGAACTTAACAAACCACTAAAGGAACAAATTCAGGCAAAAGGATACTTTTTTTTGGTGAAGCTGCCTGCTGTAGTTTTCAGGCATCTCCTCTTGGGCTGATTAACTGCAGCAGGACCCAGAACCACCCATCCCGTTTACTGTTCCAGGGGACGGTGCAGGGTTGGGCCTTGCCGCGTGTAGCGACGGGTGTTCTTACACAGAGACGGCTTTGCGGGCCCCTCGGTGCAGGATTAAACAAAATTACTGCTTCAAGCCCGACTGCTCTGACTGCTCCGAGTGCGAGCCAACCACTCACGCTAGTCTGGGGGGGAAAAGCCCCACCAAGCCCCCAGCAGCACCTGGTGCTCCCGGCGGTGCTGAGGGTTCTGGAAGAGGGCGGGCAGGCAGGGAGGGCGGCAGGAACAGGCAGGTGCCGCCCAGCTCGCACGGGGCAGTTGACTCCGCGGGAACTGCTCGGGGATTACTAAGTCACCGCCAGCACAGGACTCCTTCAGTCCTCCTCAGGGAAGGGAGGCGGTTACTGGGCAAGCCTGACCTGTAAAGCAGGAGGGTACAGCTGAAGGGCTGAAAGCATTAAATAAACCCTCAGCTGCGGAGTGGCGAGGGCCGTCAGGAGATGCGTATTGGGGCATTACACCTCGCATAAAGTAAGGACAGACAGGAGAGGTTCTGTTCCGCGCTGAGGCAGGAATGTGCTTTACAGGTTTTGCTGGTGCTAGGAAAAAGATCAGCATGCTGTCAGGCAATTTGTAGCCATAGACCTCAGCATCCAAGTACCTGGTCTAGCACGTTGCATAGGATTCCTGATCAGCTTAAAATTTGAGTCTAATTTCCATTAGGAATCTGTGCTTTTTAAAAGTGAAGGAAGGCAAAAAAGAGCCAATAAAATGAAAACAATAGTCTGGTTACTGAAGAACTGTTCCAGAGGAGAGAACCTTTGGATGTGTTGTGCTTGTCTGTGCTGCTGCAACGTCCGTGCTGGAGCGAGCACGCTGCCAGCCACAGGGTAACCCTGGAGCGGGAGGAGGCACTTGTGTTCGTGCCTCAACTGAGGAGCGTCAAAAATCACCCGCAAAGGCAATGAGCAACTTTCCAAGTGGATGCCGATTAAAACGTCTTTAAATAACTGTCAGGAACAAAGGGGCAAGCACAGTAATTGGGAAGAAATTAATGCAGAATTACGCTGAGAGCCTCTCTGAAAACCACCTGTGGTCAGAGCAGCGCTGATGAACGGAATTTGGCCACGTTAAGTCACTGCTGCTACGGACTAGGTCGGTCGGCTGCCGTACCACATGTTTGTGTGGTTATGCCAGTGCGGAGCCACAGTCATTTTTCAGGTCTTGCAAACTTCCAGTTTAATACTGGGATAAGAGAACTCAGAAGATGGTCTCTTGCTGCAGACCCACGAACACTTTCTGCTTTTGTTCCAGTAATTCCAATGCCACGGAAGAGTGTAGTGGTATAGGGAGCTCCGGGATAAGGGGACATTCTCGGTCTTTTCAGTTGAGCTGAAAAGTTTTCAGCTCCCTTTGGTGATTGCTTTCAGGGATCATGTACCATCAAAAGTCAGTATCTTCTAAGGTACAGCCTTTCAAATGAAACTCGAGTCACACCCACCCTCCAGGACATCACCAGTCCTTTGGTATGATCTAGTTCTACTATAAAACATTAACGATATCACTGAAGTTAAATACTTATGTCAGAACAGAAAGAAGAATCCTTTCTTGTGCGCTGAACACAGAGATAGAGCTGTGTTCTCGAGGCGCTGGAGGGCTCTGGCAAAGCAGCAGGAAAGCGGAACTGGGTCAACCGCTGTCAAAAATGAGAATTGCAGCACTTCCGAGCCCCTGTGTTCAGGCTGGTGCATCCCCGATACAGCTGCCCAGAAGTCTGGAGGTGAACAGACATGGACACGTCTGAAACCCCGTCTTGGGGAGATACAGGGGCACACAGACAAGAGGAGCACAGTCGCCTTCGAAGCCACAGCGCGGGGCAGAACAGGCGTGCGCAGGGGCTGCCTGCGAGCTGACACAGCCCGCGCTGTCCACTGCTGCGTCCGGAGCAGCTGCCCCGGCTCCCCTCGGGCTGGGCTGCGCACGTCGAGGGACACAGTGCGAAGCGGGGAACCCTCTGAGGAGGTGAAAGCGTTCAGCTGCAGCCGTGCTTTCGAGACCCGCTGTGGTACCGCTTGGACTGTGCGTGCTTCACACGATCCATCAGTCACACGCAAGCCTACACCAAATGGTACCACAGAACCGACCCAGGCGCAAGCATGGGCAGTTTGGATCGGAGGTACTGAAGCACCAAAGTCCTGGACCAAATAAATCTGTCCTAAATCTTCACTATGTCAGACCCCAGTTTAGGGGAACTGGATGCACAAGTGTTTTCTGCTGTCCGTAAACAGACTTCGTTTTTTGAAAGGCATTAGTGACACAAAGTACATGTTGACCTGCAGCCCCTTCTAAACATTAACAAAGGTTTACTTCAGGGTTTTATCTTATCTTAAAATGACTAACAAAGAGTTCATGCTAATGACTTGCTGACTTACTTATACCCAAGCTGACATTTTCACTGTAAGTTGCATGAAGAACGCAGCACCATGTATGTTCAAGGTAGAAGCAATTTAAACATGGGACTTACATAAAGGAGAAGGAAAGAGAAAGGTCACAAGGACCTTTCTTAGACACATGAAAAAATAACAACCCAGATCTCTAGGCCAGTATCCTCTGAAACGTAACACGGACGCTACTGCTGAATGATTGGGAGACACTGTACCTTTTGCACTGATGCTACGAAGATCTGTGATTTTCATTAAGATCTTTGGGAACATATGAGGCTTGTTGGGTCGTCTCTTTCGGATATAAATTTTCAGTGCTTCAAGCAATGGTTCCTGAAGCTTATCCACTTTCATTGGTTCTTCAAGGTCCTGGCGATCTGTAGAAAAGTATATCACTTGTATGATTTTAATTTTTATTTTTTTTACCAACTCCAAATCACAGGAGCTCCTCCATGTTCTTGATTAGAACTCCGTGAATTTCATCCTTCTCTCCACTTATGACCCACACTCTGTAGCGAGTGTTCCACAGGAAGAGGACAAGCCATGGCTTTCTGAAACTTCTATCTTGGTGACTGGAAAAGTTTGTCACTTGGGTGGTCCAGAATTACCATTTTGCTCTGGTGCCTCCCTCTCCAAGGGGAAAACACCCTGCTGCCGTCAGTATTTCAGAATTAATTTTGTACGGGCCATTGATAAGCTACCTAAGTACACAAAGAGGCTACAGCTAGTTTATCTTTTTGTACCAGTACGAAACCGAAGTGAGTTACCATCGGGTATCAGCAGATGGCAGTGCTAGCTTGAGTGACAACAAACGCCACCCATAAACCAGGACGCACCACTCACATATTAATGACATCTCAGAAGCCATCAGTGCTTTTGACGGGTTATGGTTAAGACACATAAAATTGGAACGATTTTGTACTAAAGGGCCGTTGTCAACAAAGACTGACTCGGGTTTAAACGTGCTCCAGTAGCACCGTTTGTATTTCAGCAAAATGGCCCAGCTGCACAAGGTGTGTTTCTATCGCTAGTCTGGATTTTGCAAAGGAGGAGAGAGACTGGGTGATTAAAATGACAGACATTTACAGAGGACTTTGGAAATGATCCGAGACGTCACTTTTTGTACCTTAAAAACCATGATTTTACTTGACAATGTCTCTTTCAAGTTGTAATCAGCCCCCCCCAATCACGTCATCAGTGCCACCACGCTCATTTCAAAGTATAATCTATTTTTTTTCCTAAAGAAAGTTACCACCAATGACTTCTGTGTGGATGTAACTATATGCATATGCATGTGACTACATTTATGAGCAAGAGCTGCATAACGAGCATCTTGTAACAAAGGTCATTCATACAGGTACTGCTTACAAACAAAATGCAGCAGGAGATATCCTGTTAGTCCTTTATCAGGCAAATACAAGGATTGGTTGCTTGACAGAATGAGTTGATTAATTTAAAAATGTATCAATAATAAATCCAATATCTGTCACCAGTGGAAAACAAACCTTTAGTGTTAAGTAGTTTATATAACATATACAATAATATTACATATATATATGTTTTATGTATATGTTCTAGTGCAGGTAAGCAAAACAAGTAAAACATAAATGAAGATCTTAGCATGTCTGTCCTTTTCGAACGCATCTGAGTTCGTGCTGTACGATACCTCCACAGATTAAGCAGATGGCACTGAGGAGCCCCGTTTCTGTATCATCCATTTCCAAAGGCAGGAGCTGGTTGGCAAACGTGAACACGAGATCAGTCAGTGGGCCGAATCCGGCGTTGTGCATCTGAGTTCGGTTTAGGGTAAGGCCATCGGAAAAGGTCATGGTGTCTTGCTCTGGCGTGTATCTTGTGCAAATTCTAAGGATCTGTGGAAGGACAAAAAAAAGAAATCTGAAGGATTCGATCCATGAGGGGTTTGTTGCATTTTCTCGATGTGGCAAATGACCCACAGAAGTGCAGTACCCAGTTGTGTCAAAACAATCCGAAATCAAACTCCAGGTTATTCAGTTCTAGTAGCACAAAAAGTCTCTGGTACAACATAAATGTACTTGATTGACTACGGGTATTTTTTATAACAGAAATCTAAGAACAGAAGTTTTCTCCCTAGTTATGAAATAACCAAAACTTCTGTGCAATTCTCAGCACTTAGGTCACCAACATGACCGTAACAGTCACACAAACCGCTCTTTAATTAGCCTGCTGTACAGGCCTAACAATAAAATGCCACTGCACTGCTGATCTGATCCAGCAAGATCACAAAAGTATCTCACCTCTTCAAACACGCACGTATTGCACTGATTTGGGGATCAGTTTTGCATGACAGCGCTCCTCCGGGCTGTGTCTTTGGTAAGGACAAGGTGTCTCTGCGGCGTCTCGCGTGAGCAAGCGCCTGCGGACAGCTGTGAGCTGGTGAAAGGGGCAGAACGTGACCCGTGCTGTAGGTGCCTGCCTTTCTTCGGTGACAGCAGGCCAGGAAACACCACTGTGCCAACACAAGCCCCGCGTGTTGCAGCAGGGCAAAGCCTCCACTGCCCAGCAGCTGCAGTGCCCATCTCCACAGCGCTGCTTGTCTTGCCAGCCCGGGAGCTCGCGCCCCAGTGGATTATCAAACCGTGACACCCCCCCACGGCAGCGTGCGGAGTTGGCCCAGCTCTTCTTCTTTCACGGTGGTTGTTACTTCCACGCGCTGTACCACGAACTTCCTCGCCAGCCTGTTGCCTCCAGCCGTCCTTGAGGCTCTGGCGCTTCCCCGATCCGAGCCCCGGGCAGCGCTGGTCCGGCTGCACACCCGGCCTGCCTGGTGCAAAGCCCTTCTTCCCGCTGCCGACGGTGTCGTTCGCTCCTGTGCAAGCCCAGGCGGTGTTGGTTTTGGCAAGTTTGCTCGTATGCCGACAGCCACCCGGCACTGACCCTGGATGAAAGAGCGCTGGAGGGGAGGCTGGGGCTTCACACCTCTAACTGGACACGGAGGAATGCAGAGCACATGAATAAAACACCGAGGATGCTCTGCGTTTTGTTTGTAAATGCCTCTGGGGTAACGGCAGCTCAGGAGGGCTGTCACAGGGCGGTGGCAGCAGGGCCAGAGGGTGAGTGCGTAAACGTTTTCGCCTCTCAGAGCAAACCCAGGACGTGTCCCATGATAGACTCTGCATGGCACAGGCTCATTTGTACAGCTGCTATTAATGAACACTGCCTTAAGGATCAAATAAAAGAGATGTCCATCATCTTGACATATTTCTGTTATATATATCAATGCTTAATGTTTAAAATAATCAGAGGTGGGAGAAGGCTTATCCCTAAACTAAAATAAAATAAAACCTTGCAGCGGTCTAGCTGATTAGCTGAGCTAAGACTACAGCTGTATTTTTTCAGGGCTTGACTGTATTTATTTCCCATACAGCCACCCTACTTGGTTTTAAAGATTCAACAAAAAAGATTTACACGAATGTAAGTGAGCAGAAGGAGAATTTTAATTATTCCTATAGCTGCCGAAGCTCTGAGTCAGAGGCCCCAGCACTTGGCAGCTGACCAGCCTGGGCTTGGTTCTCCCACTTTGATCTTTGCCTGGCAACACTGCTCCAAATAAGCAGGGAGGAGAATGAGGAGGACATGGCATGTAAGAGACCTACAGGGAAGCTTTTATTTCTCTTCTTAAATTCCTTGGTAAGAGACTTAAGAGGGTGTATTTCTGCAGAAGGCTCTTCAACTGTTTTCTGTCTCAGCAATAACCTTATCTCACACTTTGTGGGTACACACTGAAGCACTGAGACTCTATGTGGTTGGACAGGCATGTCTCACGTTGTTCCCCTACCCCCAAATTAGAATAAGCTCTTGAAATTACTTGAATCAATGACCAAGAGAGGCACAAATACAAACGCATGGCACTCAGATTGTTCACTGACCACAAATCCCCCAGTAATACAAGTGATCTCAAAAGGCTGTTGGTAGCTCCAGAGGTTTTCTATAACAGCCAAAGTGTATTTCAGGTTTATTAGCAGAAATTAACACTATAAAGCTTGGCACCCTGTCAGTAAGAGACAGCAGGTTTACCATATTCTGCACTGCCAGTAACCACCGACAGTCCTCTCCCCTGAAGTTCGCTGTTGGTTATCCTTTTAAATCATTAAAAGGATTGTATAGAAAGGAGAAGAAACATGCAAAGTTTGTTGTTTTCAAGAAAAGCAAGGTCTGAAAACTTTGCATATTTATTGAGAAAACAAAGTGCTACTGGGTTTACTCCTTTAATGGCATGCAAGAGAAACTGGAGCGCAGCTCTTGCCATCTGAAGCCTGCATATACAGCAGCTGCCTTCCAGCAAGGGTGTGCGGCCTGTGATGGAGGAACAAGGCTCTGTGCTTCTTAAGTGGCACTGATTTCCCCTCAGCTCAGCTGGGGAGAAAGGCAGCCCCTTTTATTCTTGTGCTATTTGCTAAGCCTTAGCAACCAGAGTTCATCCCCCCACACCCTCAGGACTCCCAGCCCAACGAATGAGCGGAGCAGGACTTGGAGCCGGACTGGGCAACGCGGTGGTGTTTCCCGACGGCTGCAGGCTGCCCCCCGGCAGCTGCCCCCGCAGGGCTGGCAGGTACAGTTCCTCCGTACCCTCCCTCCGAGGGCAAGTCTGGGCACCGGCTGCCAGTGCCGCGCCGCCCAGAGACCCCTGGCCCCGAGGGACTGGGGTGCCCCGGCACAGTCACCCCAAACAACCCGGAGGCCAAACGCACACCTCCTGCCACACAGCAGGCTGCTGCGAGGCTCTCCCCTCCATGCTCACCCCCCGCGGCCGTAAGCCCCACTGGTTTCGGGATGCGTGCTAGTGGTGCTCAGCAGAGACCTACCAGATCACCGTCCCGCAGGGCTAACGCAGAGGAAGACTCTGAGGCTGGACCCTCATCATCGGGAATGCATTTGGGATTAGGTTAGTCAGCCTAGAGCCCCTAGGGGCACGCCCAGAAAGAGACCTCTAGGAGTCTTGCAAAATTTAGAATTAGAATGTAAAGATCCCATGGAACGTAGCTACTTCCAGGCCTGGGCAGCAAGTAGGACAGCGTTTTCCAAAAGGCAGGCTTCAGGCTTCGTACCCAAATGCTGCACCAGCCATCAACTGGAGGAGCCCCCAGTGGCTCTGCTGGGCACTGGCACAGCTGAAGCTCAACTATGTGTCTTCTGCAACGCACTCAGCTTGACTACAGCAATCAGGTCTCAGGTTTCTCCCGCATTCCTTTGACATTATCCCACAACACGCTGTTATTAAGCTCCAGACGGATCATTTGAAATGTTTTTTTTTTAAAAAAAAATGTGTCCTTCATCAAGATCTGCGAAACGCCATGGATATCGCTGATTTGCTGCTAAACCGTTCTTGGGCAAACTTCCAGTGTCAAAGTGAAGCTGATTTGAAGCTCATATTCACTGAAGAACATATGGGAAATGTCAGCACTTCAAAATAAGAAAT